AGATAAAAATAATCATTTTGGGTCGTATGATGTGATAAATTGAAGCTAACATACCATAGACATATTAAACAAAATATAGGTGCATGAAAAATAAAGAACTGTGAGTATATTTATGTTTCATATTTTGTTTACAAAAAAATCTCCATTTAAATATGAATCTTATGTAATATATTAGGGCATATTAAAAACCTCTTTTGAACCGGAAATGACTGTRAAATTAATCAAGGTTCAMATTCCGCTTCTAAATAATATGAAATATGTGTTCCAGTAAATGTTTCAGTTCTTACGTTGACCAGGAACCGGATCTAGTTCTTAGTACGACATACCATTTTATCTTYATCTTTAGGTTTATCTTTCTTCCRMCAAGATTAGTATTTCTAATAATTTATTTCATTGATTGATGTTTTTTAACTGCCTTAACGTCTAAATATTKTATACCTACCTAGTATACCTTGTATTTCCCTAGTTAGATTGGAAGATGAAATTTGATTTTGGTTTTCATCATTCATTCTTTTGAGTATAATCCCATTGTATTTCCATACTATCCCAAGTGCCTACCTGTTCCCTATTTTATACCCAGTGGCGTTATATAAACAGTGGATTATATTTTGTTTATTCTTTTGACCATTCTCATGATTTTAATAATTCTACTCTAATTCAAMAATTTAAATTCGATGTATGGTCTTCACTTATTTTAGGAACTCAATCAGTAACCTATTTACACCAGGATCAGTTAAAAAAGGATCAGGTTAAATTAGTTTTTTTGCGTTTTTTAAATTTTTCTCTATTAACCTATTTAATTTATTTCATCACTTTTTGTTTTTATCTTTTTTGGGTAGTATATTCTTTTTGAACATATTTTAATACATTTTCACATACTCACTAATATTTCTCTATTCCCAATACAATACATCAGTTCTTATTTTTATGTTTCTCATGTTGCTTTAATAACATAAAAAGAAAAAAAGAAAAAGTATCCAAAACATAATATTTTATNACTTTTTGTTTTTATCTTTTTTGGGTAGTATATTCTTTTTGAACATATTTTAATACATTTTCACATACTCACTAATATTTCTCTATTCCCAATACAATACATCAGTTCTTATTTTTATGTTTCTCATGTTGCTTTAATAACATAAAAAGAAAAAAAGAAAAAGTATCCAAAACATAATATTTTATTATTTTTATCTTTAAAGTATGAAACATTTAATAACAAATTAATACATTAAACTAAGCGAATAAATGTTATTTAAATATCTAGTAAAACATTTTTAAGGTCAGCCCATAGCCCATAAACGTATTTACCATTTAGTGGTGTATGAAATCATACAAATTTTGAATTTTGTAACCAAATAATATTTCTATCATTTTTAAATTTTATATTATTACAACATTTACCCACATATGTTTTCAGTGGGAAAAAATTAGCAGATTTGTAYATGGAGATTCAAAACTGTAGTCCATCATCAGAACTTATAACACATTTTGAGGGAGCTTTAAGTTCATTAATGGAAGATGTAAAGCGATTACATGAAGATAATGAAAAACTTGAAAACATGTTTAATCGGTATTGTGCAGAAATATAATAAAAATTGATACATCATTAGAATTTACAATATCAAGTTTTAAAGATTTAATTTAAACATTTATTTTATTGTCTTTTTAGTGAGCGTCAAACACATCTAACAAGATTGCGAGGTTTAGAAGAAGAAATAGATGCACAAGTCGCAAAAGTTGAAGCTCAAGCCAGAGATGAAGCAAGAAAACAATTTGAATTTGAAAAAAAAGAATTGATGAAAAAAATGGAAACCGAAACAATAGAGTTAAAAACACATTTGAAATTGTTTCAAAAGGTTCATAATAATATACATCATTAGTACATATTCTGGTTCATGTTTGCTAAATTTTAATTGTTTAAAGGTGAATACCGTACTAAGCCAAAAAAAAGTTGATAAGAACGATATGGAC